CTCCTATAATTGTCTGGCTTAGCACAGCAACCCAACAGGATGGGTATAGATTCCAATGGAGAGTCAAGACGGCAGACAGAATCATTCCAACCAGGCATAGGTAGTCCTTGACTTACAAACAGTCCATTTAGTGACCGTTCAAAGTTGCGACATCTTACCTGCGGGGTAGGGCATTGCAAGCCTTTCATTGCTATTGCCAGTGGGTTCGCTTCCACGACACATTTCATGAGGTTGAAGTAGAGAAGGTAAGGTTTGTCACTAAACAGAAAAAGAGAATTGAAGAACGCATTAAAAGAAATACCGTATTTTTCGGACTATAAGACGAACCAGTGTATAAGACGCACCAAGATTTTGAAGAGGTAAGAAAAAAAGTTTTTGCCTTCCCTCAGCCCCCAGCATTTTTTGCCGTGGCGTTTTTGCCTTGTTCCAGCCCTGCTGAAGCCTACAGAGGGCTGAGGGAAGTTTTTGTGAAAAGTTTTTGTGAAAAGCGGCACGGTTTTGGCCCAATTTTTTTGCAAAAGCAGCATTTTTGCCTTGCCCCAGCTCTGATGAAGCCTGCAGAGGGCTGTTGGGGGCTGTGGAAAGGCAAAAAAGCCTCTGTTTTTGCAAAAAAACCACCCATTTTTTTGCAAAAATAGGATGGGGGTGGGGCTTCAGAGGCCACAAAATTGCTGTATTTGGTGTATAAGACCCACCAACGTTTTCATGCTCTTTTAGGGGGAAAAAGGTGCGTCTTATACTCTGAAAAATATGGTAAATCGGGTAATTAACAAACAAAAAAAGCCACTGGGGTTGTTTCAGTTCTCAAAGTATGTCTGGTTAACTGACTGCTGGACACTATTTTGCACAGGTAGTCCCCGACTTATGACCACAATCGAGCCCAAAATTTCTATGGTTAAGTTGGACACTTGTTAAGCGAATTTTGCCCCCAATTTACGACTTTTCTTGCTACAGTTGTTACATGCATCCCTGCAGTTGTCAATTTAGTGGCCTAGTTATTAAGTGAATCTGGTTTCCCCATTGACTTTGCTTGTCCGAAGGTCACAAAAGGAGATCACATGACACTGCAGCCGTCATAAATATGAAACAGTTGCCAAGCGCCTGAATTTTGATGACGTGACCCTGGGGATGCCCCAATGGTCGTAAGTATGAAAAACAGTCCTAAGTCACTCTTTTTACTCCCTTTGTAACTTTGAACGGTCACTAAACAAACTGTTGTAAGTCGAGGACCATCTG